TTACAGCTGCTAAATAAAAAGAGGATGTACTGTGGGTATATTTTGGTCACAACTCTGAAAAGTGTGCAAATGTGGATAAAAATTGGAGGGGAAACACCCAAGTGAAGACAGATGCAGTGCAAGGCTAAAGCAGCAGGCGTCTCTGTCTTTAAATTGTTCTCTGTGGTTACCATGCGGTTCTCAGATCTAAAAACGAACTAAACACAGTAACTCAACGAGAGGTGGGTGAAATGTGCAAGCCTGTGCATGAGAACCGGCCATAGCACTCAGTCCTAGAAAGGCAAAGGTCTGCCTGAGTCTTGGTGGAATGCCTTGTGTGTAACTTCCTAAACAGACTATGCAAGAGGGAGCCTGCTGCCAGCCTCTCATTTCTACGAAGAAACGCGACCCTCTGACCAATGCTCAGAATAGAGTGTGCGCACTGTGGCTCCCTGACCATAAGATTGCTGTGCAGGGTCTTCTAACTAGCACTGTGGTCATTTGACTCTTCCTTTAATGCTGGGACAAGGACCCAGTAAGGTGGCAACGTAGACATACTCTTTTCAGTTGTCATTTTGTCTTAGTCTGTTTTCTATGCTATAACTAAATACCCTAGACTGGATAATTTCTAAAGAAAGAAGTTTATTCGGTTCACAGTTCACAGCCAATTGGAAAAGTCACACTTAGAGAGGGTCTTCTTGCTAAAGAGGACTTTAGAGATTAAAGGTAGTACAAGGCATTTCGGAATGACAGAGATCTGTCCTCTTGTTATAAAGCATTTGGGGAGCTCCATCTTCATAAGCCCAACTAAGCCTAATCGCTACCCCCACCTCTGAATGCTGTAAACAATAACTCTGGCCATTGCATGTCAACATGAATTTTGGAGGAGAAAGACACTCAAGCCAAAATACAATGTAAGTTATAGTCAAAACTTAAAAGGAGCCTGGGTCCACCTAAGTCCACAAGTGTCTGTGTGCCACCATTTGAGGCAGTCTAAAAAGTCCACTAAGGAACAGATGCTATTCAAATGGCCACAGGTAAGAACGGTTGGATGTCTGTGTTCCCCTAAACTTCTTATGCTAATATGCAAATCTCCAAGGTGCTCATACTAGGAGACAGGCATTGGGAGATGAAACCTTGTGAAGGAGCCAGAGCTCTGGAATGACTCAGAGAAGCCCCTTCTGAGAGCTTTCACCCTCTTCTGTGAGGACTCCAGGAAGGCCATCTATGAACCAGGAAGCAGGTCCCACCAAACACTAAATATGCCAGTGCCTGACCTTGGCTTCCCAGCCTCCACTGTAAGCAGTCAATGCAGCCATTGACCAGCCACTTGGTCCATGGTGGCTTTGTTACAGCAGACCCCCATAGTCCTTTCCTAGTTCAAACAATAACTGCTCGAGAATAAGAAAAAGGAAAAAAAATGAAGAAAGGGGAAGGAAAATCTCTACTTGGGATGTTTCTTTTCCTTGGTAAACAGAGCAAATATTAAGAAACAGTTATTAGTTTTCTCAGGGAAGAGCACACCAATTGGTCACTCAACAGCAAATGGCCAATCCTAAAAAAAAATACAAAATAGAAGTAACATTATACAAACTGAATAATGTAGGAATACACACCCACACTTGCAGAAGCATGTAATAGCATTTATTGAAAAACAGAAGCCATGAATTTGAAAGATTGCAAGGAGGGGTATATGGAAGGGTTTGGAGAGAGGAAATGGAAGGGAGAAATAATGTAAATAAATATAAAATGTAAAAGTATATAAAATGATTATATTATAATTTCAAAAATCAAAGAAAAACACTTGGAAAAGCCAAAGAGCAAAGATAATTTTTCTTTTGAACATGTTGCCCAGGTTATCCCTGAACTCACTGTGTAAGCTAAGGATGACCTTGAACTCTTGATCTGCCTGATGGGACTGATTATAGGTGTTCACATCACACCTGATTTTTGTGGTACTGGGACTTGAATCCAGGACTTCAATGTATGCTAGGCAAGAACTCTACCAACTGCACTATATTCTTACCCCCTCAAAAATAAATTTTAAAGAGACCCAGTTACAATGTCCACATAGACAAACCACAGACACAGGTCAAATAATTTAATTCAACTAATGAGAGCACTGGGATATGCTACTGTGAGAATGCCAAAGTCATGTATATCATGGACATCAGGCGTGCTGAAGGAAAAGAAGTTGCTTACTAGATACAAAACCGGTCAGTCTCCACAGCAATAAGAAATATCTGCATCTCTAGCAGACACAGCTCACATTGTTGCGTGTAAGTCACATGCTCAACCTCAGAGTGCAACAGAGCTCAGGCACAAGAAAGCCTGGAGACCGAGAGATCACATGACTCTAGAAACACAGGAGATTGCCTGACCCATCTCAGAGTGCAACAGAGTTCAGAGACAAGGAAGGAAGGGAGACTCAGAGACCAGGAAAGCAGGAAGACTCAGAGAGAGACCTAACAACTCAGGACATGCAGGACCTAACAACTCAGGACATGCAGGAGAATTCCTGATCCATCTCAGGTTTTCCGAATTTTCCCCTAAAAACTGAACAATGATAAATGCACAGACCTTGAGCTTGCAAGCATGTTTTAGGAGAAACTGCAGTGGAATGGAAGAGTGAGGGTTAGAACTCTTGGGGACTGTCAGTATAGAGGCAGGCTAGTGTGTCTTAACCAGCATTAGCCCGGGAACCTGAGAGAAGTCTGCCAGGCCAAGCAGTGGTAAGCAGGCCCACCCTGGCCTTCGCCCTGACCCACCTCACCCCAGAAGCTTCTGAAATGAAACACACAGTATTTATAATGATTAATTTGGGTTATCAACGTGACAAGATATAGAATCACCTGGGATGCAAACCTCTTACCGCATCAATGAGGGAGTTCCTAGATTAGGTTAACTGAGGTGGGGAGACACAGTGTGAGCAGCAGCATTCCATGTGTTGGGGACTGAACAGAACAGAGCTTCTTACCCGTGTCATTTCTCTCTGCTTCCTGGGTATAGAAGCAATGTGACCAGCTGACCCAATATGGACAACACTCTCTAACTTCACGCCCAAATAAGCCTTTCCTTCTGAGAAGCTGCCTCGTCAAGTGTTTTGTTACAACAATGAGAAAAGCAAATTATGAGGCACTGAATTGGTGCTTTATGTTTAAACTGCACCTTAAAGACTTACAAATTATATCCTTTGAGCAACTATAAGTTCATTATACACACGTGTACACACACACACGAGGTGGGGAAGGAGAGCAAGAGGGCAGTCAGTGTTCTAAGAGTGACTCTCCTCTTAGGAAGCCCACGCCTTAAGTATACTCTTCTCTCTCTCTCCCTCCCTCCCTCTTTTGTCCCTACCCCACCTCTTCCTCTCACTTTCTCTCTCCACCATGCTTAGACTTGATGTGTACACTAATCTCATCTCTACTTAATAAATTCACTAACTTTACTTTATTTTGATCAATTTTTAATTTTTTTTTTCCGAGACCAGGTTTCTCGGTGTAGCTTTGGAGCCTGTCCTGAAATTCACTCTGTAGACCAGGTTGGCCTTGAACTCACAGAGATCTGCCTGCCTCTGCCTGCCTCCTGAGTGCTGGGATTAAAGGCCTGTGCCACCACCACCAAGCAAAGGAAAAATATTTTTTGGTGGTATAGTCAAGGGCCTGGCTTTAGCTAAGTAGAAGTCCTAGGGCTTTGGCTACAGTGCTGGACTGTATCTGCCTGCCACCAATGACATTTAAAAAATATTTTTTATTATTTCTCTCTGTAGGTGCTGGTAATCAAACCCAGGTTCTCTGGAAGAGTAGCCAATGCTCTTAAGCCCTGAGCCATTTTGCCAGCCCGACCAATGATATTTTGCCTAACACATTTCATGAATGTGTTGTGTATATACGGTTCCTTACTTTTCTCTAAAACTTCTCTGTTATGATGTTGACATCATTCTTACATGCAAAAGAGGATGACGCATCGGTGTCTTGCCCCTCTCCACTTTAACAGGGTTCATTCACTTTGCCAAATTGCCTGGAACTCATGCAATCAATGAGATCAAACACGCGGAGAAGAATGTCTCCACAGAAAAGGATGAGTTGTTAGGTTCACTATGTGAATCAAGACACAGAAATGACAGAGATCACTCCTTGTGTGGCGTTATGACCCAGTAAAGAGAAACTTCCTCTTTCTTTTCTCTCCCTCCCTCTCCCTCCCTCTCTCCCTCCCTCTCCCTCTCTGAGACAGGGTTTCTCTGTGTGGCTCTGGCTATCCTGGAACTCTGTAGACCAGGTTGGCTGAACTGAGATCCACCCCCAAACCCGCAACCCAAGTGCTGAGGGCTGGGATTAAAGGCATCCTGTGCACCACCAGGGCCCAGGCTAAGAAATAACTTTCAGAGGAGAAAGGAAAGATGGGGAAAGGGGAGAGAGAAAGATGGAGGAATTGCTTTTACAAAAATCTCCTCTAATCCTCAGCAGACGCCAGAATCAAATATAATCCAGGACTCAGTCAGATGTGCAAACACCCTGCTCGACAGACTCCACAGTGACCAGCTGCCGCCAGCTCAACCCAGTCAGTGTCTGCTCTGACAAAGCACTGGACACAGTGATGGCCTCGGGAGTATTGAAGGCCCCCGTGTGTCCGTGTGATGTATGCACATTCACAGCTCATGCTCAAGCAACACGCTTCAAATCAAAGGCGAGGGACACAGTAGGTGCCGTGACTAATGGTCTGTGAGCTGGGTGGCCCCTGGGGGAGATAACTGACAAGGCACTGAGCATTTCTTCCTGAGGTTTCCACTGCACATTACAAACCTAATGTTATCAGGACTAGTCTGAAACCAACTTAGCATCACCATCTTAAATGCTTCGAGGTAAGTCGCCTTGCTTCATTAGCCTCATGCCAGGGGTTGAGAATTCTTGCTCTAAGGATTCTCTCCAGGTGGAGTGTGACTCTACTGCCTGGGATGCAGAAATCTCTGGGTTCCATCCCTACAGCCTCACCTCTCCCCACCCCCACTGCTGCACACTTACTGCAGGCTGCACAGGTGAAACACGCGTCGTGGTAGAGGTCCCCCATGGCCTGACAGGCCTGGCCCGCTCCAAACACTCCTTTGCTGCATTTCACGCAGGCTCCTACGAGGTAAGAAGAAAACACCAAGTCAGGAGAAAACTGGGATTTTAAAGTCATGAAAAAGCCAAGGAACAGAACAGAATACCTTCTCCTTCCACAATACCACATTCATGGATTTCTCAGTGCCCAGTCCTTACAAGTACAGAAAACAGCCACCATCAACACCTACACACACACACACACACACACACACACACACACACAATCCCCACACCTGTCCAGAACTTTCAAAGGCTCCTGCGAGTCAGAAAACCAAATTCTAACCAAACCGTGACTATAACATAGCTCAGTAAAAATAAACAAATAAATCTAATCTCAAAAGTGTTTGGAATATGTTTAAGTATATTGAGACAGGGTCTTACTCTGTAGCTCAACCTGGCCTGGAATTCACTATATAACCTACAGTGACTTCAAACTCATAGCAATCCTCCTACCTCAGCCTCCTGAGTACTGGGATTACAGGTATGTCTCAGCATAACTGACTGAAGTTTTAATTTTATGTGAATTATATGTATATGTTTCAGAGCTCTTCCAGCACTTGGTAGATAACCAACTTATTGTATGGTTTCAGAGTTCCTATTTTGATTGATTGATTGATTGATTGACTGACTGACTGACTGACTGACTGAGATAAAGTCTCTCTATGTAGCCCTGACTGTCCTGAAACTCACTATGTAGATGAGACTGGCTTTGAACTCACAGAAATCTACCTGCCTCTGCTGTACATATGCTGGGATAAAAGATATGTGTTACTACGCCCAGTCAGAGTCCCTATTTTAAATTGACAAACCAATTACTACCAAGAAGGTTTAAGCTACTACATTCTTTATAAAATGTCCCCATACCAACCACTCAGGCAAAGAGGAAACATTACATATACACAGGCATCACACATTACCTACATCTGCCAGCCTAGACCCAAGAAGTGAACCTGTCTCATTAAAGCTCTGGGGAGAGAAGGCCAGAGCCATCAAATCTTGCTCATAAGATTTAGGGCAAAATGAATGGCATCTCCAAGGGGACCCACATGCCCACCAGCCTCCCAGGACGAGCTGGACAGACAGCAGGGCTTCCCCACTCTCTGTACCCTGCCCAGAAATGCCCTCCTCTAATTCTTCATTGGAGGCCTGCTACCTACGGCCTCCAGACGCCTCTACCTCTCAGGTCCTGACTTCATTTCTTCGGGCTGCAAGCATCATTCCTCACCATGTGGACTGCCAAGCATTGACACAAAGCAAGGAAAGAAACTACATGTTCAAACTGTTGCTCATGGAGTAAGGAATATACCATACAAAGACACATCAGTAGGACAGATATGTGGTGTGGATACTGGGTGATAAATGTATAGAAAAGTGCCTCTTGGAGAGAAAAGATTGGGAAAAAACAAGTGGGTTGTGTTCACACCCGGGGAATCATGTACCTATCATACAGATCTTCATAAAAGAGGCCCTACTATCTCCCCTCCACAAGTCGGTTTCTAGAAACGTCACCCTGCTAGTAGGTTTGAAATACAGAATCTGAGCCCATCTTATCCCTGTGTAGCTACTCACGATATGTATGTGGGCATCTTTTGAAGAGACACGGTTCCTTCCTCACCTTGATCATCTGTCCTGCTCAGGATTCAGACCCAAGAACCAGGCCCCTGCTCTCCCACTGCCAGCCTGGCCCACCTCTCATTTTGCCTTGTTGCCCCCACGCCCACCCCAAAAGGCATCCTGCCCAAAACCTCAACCACAAGGCCCTTTCCATAAAAAACGCACCCTTCTGCAGGTGACAGTGTAGCAATGTGCCCTGTCCTTTTGCTCAGTAATCTGGACAGCATTTGTTCAGCTATAAACACTTCTCTATCTCTTGGAGACAGACTTTCCAGAAGCCGCAATGGGATGAAGAACAAAAGTGACTGATTCAGCCTACCCTGAGGGAAACTACTCTCCCACAGTGGGCAAAGGGGCCCCCACCTTACCTGAGGTCCTGTATGGGGCTCACTATGTGGCCCATGCTGGAGCTCAAGAGAAGAGAAAAAGAGCGAGCTGTTGACGTTCCTCCGACTTTACTCAATCTGAGGTCACCGGAGATGCACAAACCCCCCAAAATGAAGGGCAATGTCAACAGCTATCACTGAGTCAACAGGAAGGTGGGTGAGACACAGCTTTTAGGAGACAAGGGGAAGGTGGATGCTTTTCCTGCATACTAGCCTCTCTTAGTCCAGTCTCCAAACTGAGATACTGACAAATTTACTAATGTATTTCTGTTCTTTGAGAAAAATCTCACTCTACAGCCTGCCTGACCTCAAACTCTTATCAACAATTCTGTCTCAGCCTCCTGAGTGTTAGGTTCACAGGTATGAACCATAATTGTCCTGCATAATAATAGTTTTTTGTGAGATGTGCCATTCAGTAAACTGTCCACATTTTTATATCATTTGTGTGTGTGTGTGTGTGTGTGTGTGTGTGTGTGTGTGTGTGTGTGTGTGTGTGTGCGTGCACATACATAGCATGGTACACATTGAGAGGTCAGAGATCTTCAGGTCACAGGACTTAGTGGTAAATGCTGTCAGTCTAACTGACATTTAAAGTGTGATCTGATACATGCTGACACTGATAAACGCCTATAGCACCAGCACAATGAAGAAAGCAAGCACGCCTGCCACCCCAAGGAGTCCCATGTCCTTCCCTTTATGGAATCCACTCTCGTGCTCCCTTCCACAGGCAACCATGGGTCTGTTTACTATCATCACAGATTAGTTTGTGTCAAGAGTTTATATAAATGACACCTGGACGGTACCTCTTTATCTGGTTTCTGTCACCGCATAAGTGTTTTGGGATTTACTCTTGTCCTGGTGGATGTTGATAGCTCCTATTGGCTCCTATCTGTTGCCATGCAATATCCAGGCGCGGGGCAGACTACACAGCACTTGCCCTCTCGTCCAATCATGGAGCTATGTTCCCCTGTCAACATTTAGACATGAGTTTCTGTACAGCCCTAGACCTAGACTTCTTTTTCTCTGGAGTGAAGCCCTAGACGTAGAACGGCCAGGCCGCACAGCTGATCCTTTAAAAAACAAAAAGCAAAATGGAAAACAGGGTCTCACATAGCCAGGCAAGCCTCAGACTATATATACAAGTACCCAAGAATGACTTTAAATGCCTGCACTTCCTGCTTCCACTGTTCCACATACTGCAATTATAAATTTATGTGTGCTAGGGATAGAACGCAGGGTCTCTCAGGAATTCCGGCATGCTAGGCAAGCACTCTATCAACCGAACCACATCCTCAATCCCTGGCCAACTGTCTTCTGAAGAAGGGAGATCATCCCACCAGCAGTTTAGGAGACTTAGTTTCTCCACATACTCGGCAATACTTGGTGTAGATAACTTTTAATGTATTCATTCTAAGAGGGGCAGGGTGGAACCTCATTGTGGCTTCCAGCTGCATTTCTCTAGCAACTACTGTTGTGCCTGAGTCTCATAAAAACCTTTGGTTCCTATGGTTTATTATTTCCTTTTTATAAATTTTGAGTTGTTTTAAGCCAAAGATCAATCCAGTCTCTAGTACTCCAGCCTCTGAATGAGAATCCATTAAACATGTGCCAACCTCCGCACTATTTTTAATATTATTATTAAATACACTATTTAAACATAGTAATAAGTATATATTTAATAATAACCTGACACCCCAATACAATCACCATTTGACAAACGAAGAACTGAAGTTCAAAGATGAAGCAAAAATCTCCAAAACCAGGCTCACTCAACATCTGTGACTTTTCTGGTTCACTGTACAGCCCTCATAAGGGCTGAGGAAGTAAGAGATAAGAAAAGATTGCTGTGTGGAAACATACCATCCTGTAAGGAAGTTCCTTAATTAGGAAGATAAACAACTCAATATAGCTTTAGGAAGTGCCTGAAACTGACCAGATTTACCAGGTCCCTCCCTGCCAGAGTGAAGCTGTAAACACTCTCAGACAAGCCAAGCTAGCTGTAAAGAAGGCTCGTAGACCAGACCCTGAATAAAATCTGTCTTCAGGCCTCTGCTTCATAGGGCCATCTAGGAGTTTGAGTACTGAGTAAGTTGTTGAAAGAACATTAGTTCAGTCAGTAGACATTAATATACCATTCATTATTTTGGTTTATTTTCTTCTAGGATCTTGGTAATAGAATTTGCCATTTAGCTAAGACTCCAGAGGATGAGGCTTCCCTAGGAGACTACACAACTGTCACAGACTAGGGAGGCCTAGGTCTGCTGGGTAATCCACTCACTGAACTCTGCAAAACAGGGACCCTATCCAGCGTCACCTTGCACCTCTTATGTGAGAGGCCACAGTTGGTGGCCAGGGCCTCGGGCAGTTAGTGGTCAGAAGTTTCCACGTGATGGAGAAGAAAAACTGAGTGCCAAGCGAAGGAGTCACTAGCACTTTGATTTGTTATACCGTAATGTCTTTGGAGAGGCTAAAGCAATGTCACAGGCCTCCCAGAGAGCCTCTCGACTCATGGGAAGTAAACAGAAAGTTCTCCCATTAAGGAAACCTGATATTTGGTGATCACTGTTGTTATAATTGCTGATGGCAAGTTTGGGTTCCACGTTAGTGGTTGTGATGATTAATACTGTCAATGCGACAAGACTTAGAATCCTCCAGGGGACAAACATCTGGACATGGCCCTAGTGGAAGAATAGGTAAAGTGAGCGGAGAAGATTCATTCTAACTGTAGACAGCATCATCCTATATGCTGGAGTCCCAGATGAATGAAAAGGAAAAAGGGAGCTAAGCACCCTCACCTCTGCTTCCCGAGTGTGGATGCGATGTAAACAGCTGCCTCAAGTTCCTACAGCTGTGACGTCTCCACCATGATAGACTGTACCCTCAAACTGAGCCAAAATAAGCCCCTCCTTCCTTAAACTGCTTCTGTCAGGCATGCTGTCATGGCAACAGGAAAAGGAACTGATATAACAGCACTGAGAAACACAGGTCCCAGGGGCCTAACTCACTTCATACGTGACAATG